ATCAATCACAGCCCAGCTCAGCACAACAATATACATCTTATTACAGCTTAACAACATTTTTCAGCACTATCATCTAGTAAGCACAGCATATTCATCAATTACAGCTTAGTTCAGCATAAAATAACGTATATCAACAATTTCAACAAAATTTAACAACTATCTGTATATAAGTCATCTTCAGCATACGCGCCTGGCGCACTCAAGGTTGTGCCCGACGTGGCACAACTAGAGAGTACCAGGGGCCAGCGCGCCCGGCGCAAGAGTGCTTGCGTCCGGCGTGACTCAGTCAGAGAGCCCAAGGCTCTCTCATGCCTAGCGCAATAACAATTGCGCCCAGCGCAAGCCCAGGCAGAGACTCTAAGGAGTCTCACGCGCCCGGCGTGGCCTAACCCGCGCCCAGCGTGGAGAAGGCAGATACCTACTAAGGTCTCGCGCCCGACGCAATTTGAATTACGCCCAGCGCCCCCTTGGCAGAGACTCCCAAGGAGTCTTCACGCCCAGCGCAACAGGGCCGCGCCCGGCGCCATGCCAGAAACCCAAAATCTTGTCACCTACTGGTATCGCGCCCGACGCAGTCCAAGCAGCGCTCGGCGTGGGCCATCCAGAGGCTTTCATTCTCAAACACGCCCGACGCACACATCCTTGTGCCTGACGAGCTTGCTTAAATGAAGCCTCCAGGTGGCCACGCGCCCGACGCGAAGAACAGCGCCCAGCGCGAAGCTTAGCAGCAACTCACCAAGTTCGCAAATTTCATCAACTCCTGCAAAAATCAATCAGAAAAACAACATGCAATCCACCCAAAAGTCCCCATTTTCATCAAACATCAAGAAAAACCTCTCATTTTCAACATGCAACCTCAAATCAAGAAAAACCCAAATTTTCTTCAAAAACCCGAAAACCCGAAACTAAGTTTCTCATCAATCTCAACCGAAGATCATCCATCAACAAGCAGCAAATGAGTATCCCCAACCAAAAACAACAAAATTCTAGCTTTCCTTACCTCGGTTCAATGGCTCCGAGCTTCGGGAAAAAGGCAAACTCAACGGAGAAGAAGAAAACGGACGGAGATGAAGAAATGGCGGAGGAGAAGAAGCTTCGCACAGCTCAGCTAATTCAGTCTAGGCTGGATCAGCACCTAAGCTCACCAAAGAAGAAATGCGGGAGTGAGAAATTAGAGTGAGTGAGAGTCTTGAGAGGGTGAGAGTGAGTAAAGAGAAATGAGAGTTAGAGTGGGTGAGGGTAAAATGAGAAAAGAAAGGTAGGGTTCTCACAATAAAGAACTCAATATCTTGGATGAATATATGTTTTGAACCTTTAATAAAAATTCATGAGATGTATTAATCAAAATAAGAAAAAAAAAACCCAATTATTAGCAATAAATTTATGAAAATAAGAAAAATGTATTAATCAAAATCACCAAACACTTTTACTTGTATATCATAAGAATGAAAAGAAATGTTAAAATTAAGTATGAAGAATGATTAATGAATTGTACCATTGAAGCCATAAATCCTAAATTAATATTAATATTTTTGAGATACGTTCATAAAAAATAAAAATTATATATATTCAAATACAATCCTAAAATATATTTAATTAATAAAAGTGGAGTTTGGATGTTGTATGTTGGAATTTTATAAAGTATAAAATGAAAAGAAAAAGTAAAATATTCTGATTACTATATATTTATAATAATAAAAGTTGTCAGAAGTGGGATTTGAACCCATGCCTTCTCACGAAGGCTAAAACTTGAGTTTGGCACCCTTAAACCACTCAACCATCCTATCCTAACAATAGGACTGGCTATAAAAACTTATATATATAATATTCGTTCCTAGAGTATCTAGTTATATACACAAAATAAAATTCGAACCCTTAACTTTACTTAAGTGCGGATCAATCCCTACCGCTGAACCACACGCTTGAAATTAAACAATCATTTGTTTAAAGTTATGAGTGAGGATGATAGAATGCATCGAATTCTACGGGTACCCATAATATATATCTTCAATGGCAAGATTAAAAACTCATTTAGATAGGGTTGGAGACAAGACAAAGATTTATTAGCAAAATTTAATGGGGATAGATATGGACACAAGTCCTACAACACACACTCCGCCACCCTACAACTTTAATTATATATAATTATTTAAATGAATATTTTATATTATAATATAAATATTAATATAAAATTATAAATTGGCAACTCTTTCTCAATTTTCTATTTACGACTTTATGATATAAATTAATCTTGAAACTTTTATTTGTGTTTTATACTTGGTCCAATTAACTTTTTTGTGTTTAATTTTAATATTTTATTTATATTTAATTTAGTGGTATTTTATTGGGCTTGATATTCAATCATTATTAATTATTCGATTTTGTGTTTAACCTTTTCTATCTTATTTAAGGATATTTGGAGTTACATCAATTTAATTTAGACAATCTAGGTACCCCACAAAAAAAAAAAAAAAACCTACATTTACAAATCTCACAAGTTTATTCTTTTGTCCCAATTTGGACGTATCAGGACCAAAAACTCGCTTTAAAGTTTCAAATGTAGCATTCCT